AAAAACCAATATAACTTGAGGGCTCATTATTTAGTTATAGGAGATGAAAAATAAAAAAATGATTAAAGTTTCAAATTAGGATGAGTGGAAGAATTAAGATACTCAGAAAGTAATAAGACAAGTGAGGTAATATTTCAAGAGAAAAGTATGAGTTCAATGTTGTCATATTAAATTTCAAGTAATGGTAAGACATAAAAGTGAAAATGCTGACATTTCACTGTTTATTCATTCGGCATATATTTACTGAAGGCTTACTATGTGCCCAATGCTGGCCCAGGGAATGGCGAGACAATGGTGGTTAAGGGTGCACATGGTCCCTGTCCTCACAGAACTTAAAATTTATGTGGCAAGACAAATGGGTAATAAGACACTGGGCTCAATCAAGTAATATTCACAGACATTGAAAATCTCCATTTCTCAAAAACTTGGAGCAAAAAAAAAGGAAAGTCAACAGCCTGCTCTCGACCAGCCAAAAAGGAGAGCCCTCATTCTAAATTAAGAGTAAATAAGTATTATAGAATAGTACACTTGAAATCTATATAATTTTATTAACCAATGTCACTCCAATAAGTTTAATAAAAAAGAATAAATAAGTACAATATGAAAATGTTAGAAAGTATGAAAATGTATTTACATGAATCATTAAACTTTAATAAGTTGGCAAGGCATGAGAACTAAGCAATCTTAAATGATTTAACAAGTTGAAAACAAGGGAAGGAAAAAAAATAAGCTATTAATGGTGAAATAAATTTTGGTTAAAAACATGTTTTATTCTTCATCTGAGCCAATTTGGAAAGCTTTCTTTTGACCTTAGATATATTGAGGATAAATGTGACATTCTTTCAGTCAAAGTCCATTAAGAACAAAAACTGTAAATTAAGCACATCTATTCTCCCATGTGAACTCAGAAAAGGATCTAAAAACATGGGAGACCCATATGGACCCTATGCAAAAAGGAATAGAATCATGTACCACAAACGGTCAAGTGACATTTCATCAATATTTCCAAGCTTAAAACAAACAAAACAAGAAAGGGTTTTATCACAGGAAACTTACTACATAGAAATTTGATATAAGAAGTCCAAAGTCAAAGTATAAAGAAAAACTTTTCCAATAAATTACTTGCATTTGCATAGGATAGATGAGACTATACAACAAAACAATACAAAATAATTTTTTTAATCAGACTTTACACAAGGTGCCAAATATTAGAGTTCAATAGATGAAAATGACACCCGTTAGTATTTCTGTAGCAGGCCACGGGCATTCAGATTTCAATGGTTTTGTAAGAAGATACACCTGAAAAAAAGCTTCAGCTATATTAACCTTCCAAATTTTGAGGAGCAATCATTCTCGGTAGCTATTATTGCTTATTATAACCTACTACATTAGCCTAAATTCTTAAAAAAAAAAACACAATCTGCATGATCATATGAGAGTAAATTTCTCCAAGTCTGCTTCTAATTACACTAATTTAGAGTTGTTCTGGTGGATTTATTTGGCTGTTTATACCGTGTACAGTATTTCCAGAGCTTTTAAATAGGGACTACTATTTTTTCTCAAATATCACAAAGACTTTCAAATGTCAGCTCTTTATTAACTATACTAACTAGGGAGAAAGGGGGCATGGGTAAATGAAATCCACAAGTACCCCAAGTGCTCCTTTGTAGTCATTACTGTTTTATTCTTTCCTTTTAGTCATGCCCTAACAGTTCCCTATTTCTGTCAAGAAGACTGATTCTCTCATTCATTCATTCAAATGTGAAAATATGCAAGCATCTTGACATGCTATTATTAATTTTTTTAAAAAAATACTTCATTCTAAGTGGAATTATTGATTTTAAATATTGTGATTTGACAGGCATGACTCCATCTATTTGTTGAGAAGAGCAGAGCCAGGGTGTGGGAGCCAGGGGATAAGAGTGAGGTACATGCATGGTCTGAGTAGCTCGTGAGCTCACTGCCTTGGTTAAAATCTTAGCTCCAATTAGGCCATCTGCTCCTCTACCTTCTCCTCATTCATTTCTCCTTGTGCTGTCAAACCATAGCAACATCTATCAATTACAGTCAGATAAATTCCATCATGGAAGGGTCAGTTTGACTGAGTGAAATTGAGGGAAAGGCTTGAGGTCACAGGAGGAAGTCATATCCAAATTATGCTAATCTGTAGGTTATCAAGCAAGATTTATCAAGCAAGCTGAGTAACCATTAAAATTAACTGTATTTTGCTACAAGTATACCAAATTTTCTTCCTTCCTTCTTTCCTTCCTTCCTTCTTTCCTCCCTTTTCTTCCCACTGCCCTTCTCTCCCCCTCTTTTTGTCTTTTTTTTTTTTTTTTTGCCAATAAGAGACTAAGCAGATTGTTTTAGCATTGGCACACTGGACCAATCCACTAGAAACTGGAATTATCACAAGAAAGCCATGTTCTTTCAAGAGTTGTTTTCCAAACAAAATAACTATGGGTTTAGTGGTGGAGGAAATAGGAATATTTCAGATTCTTTGAAATAGCTCAAAATTATTTTTCAAAACATTTGGTTTTGGCAATATCTTCTACATCACTTTTTTCCCCCCAAGAATTTCTTCCTACAAAACTGTGGAATGGACATGTGAAGACAAATTTAATTTTTTCATTCTTAGTTTAGATTTCCTAAAGTCATTTCCTAATCAAAGTCATATGAAAGGTACTTTTGAGGGATTATAAACATTTAGAAAGTCTTTCCTTTTATTTCAATTTAGACAAATAAAAATAAACACTATAAAAATATGCATGGCCAAAAGTACATGAAAAAGTGCTTAATACCTTAGTACAAGAGAAATGCATATCAAAATGGTATGAGATATGACTACACTAGAATAACAAAGATGAAAAATGTTGACAACATAAAATGCTGGTAAGAATGTGGACTAACCAGAACTCTCATACTTTGCTTATAGGAGTGTAAATGGAAAAGTTAGGCAAAAACAAAACAAAATAAATAAAAAAACATTAAATATACGTCCTTCCTGTGAACCAGCAATTCTACTTCTAGATAATTACCGAAGAGAAATTAAAAGATATGTCTCCAAAATGTAATAAAAAATGTTTATAAAATCTGTATTCGTAATAACCAAAATCAAGAAACAATTCAGGTGTCCACCAACAAGAGAATGGATATATAAATTCTGGAATATTCACATTATGGAATACTACTCAGGAATAAACAATAGATGAACTATTGATACCTACAATGTCATGAATGAATCTCAAAATATGCTTAATGACAAAAGATAGAAACATAAAAAGAATATAGTGTACAATTCCATTTTTGTGGAATTCTAGAGTAGGCAAAACTAATCTCTGCTGATAGAAATCAAGTTAGTGGTTGCTTCTTGAGGAGGTACTTTCTGAGATGATGAAAATATTCTATTTCCTGATGTGATGTAAAATACATGATTATATGCAATTTTTGTAACTGATCAAACTGTACACCTAAGATTGGTGCATTTTACTGGGTTTATTATACTTTGATAATGACTTATTTAAAAAAGTGAAGGGAACTTCTAAAATTTAAAAATCATTTGAGTGTATTCAAAATAAAAAAATCATTTTAAGTAAAATGCCTTGGTTGAAGCTTGAAAATTTTGAATGCCTATCAGATGCTAAGTTTTGGATTGTGAAAATAATGTAGTAAGTATTTATGATACATATTTTATACTTATGGCTCAGCATTTAGTACACAGTATCCTTCACACAGACAGTTCCAAGTTAACGTGTTGGATGGATGAATGACAGCCATTAAAAAATATACTTAGGTTTTCCTTATTTTGTTCTGCCAAAGAAGATGAGAACTTCATTTCCAAGTCTGTGCCTTTTTTCTGCCTACGTCTCTCTCTTTGTGTATCTCTCCAGTTTTCTAAGCCAGTGATTCTCACACTTCAGTGGGCATCAGAGCCACCTGGAGGGCTTCATAAAAAAAAAAAAAAACAGGTTCCTGGGCCCCACCCTCAGAATTCCTGATTCAGTAGGTCTGGAGGGAGACCCCAGAATTTCCATTTCTGACAAGTTCTCAGATGATGTTCATGCTAATGCTGCTTGGTTTAGGGACATTTTGAGAACTACTACTTCTAGCCCTTCTTCAATTGTCAGATCAGAGATCCATTCTTTTCCAGTCCAAGAACAACATTTTCAACTTTTTTCGAGTGTGTTTAAAAATAGGTTTATTATTTCTCTAAAAGTGTTTATGCTTGTAAAAACTTCACACTGTACAGAAAATTGCACAGAATAAAAATCACCTAAAAAGGCCATGCCTAATCATTTTTAATACTTTGATGATTTCCACAAATCTCCCACAAATGTGTACAAACATGTATACACACATAGTTTTACATGAGGAAATCATGCCTCATTGTAATTTTATACTACTCAATGGAAAATGCCTTTCCATGTGAATAAAGTAGGTGTACATCATTAGTTGTATTTGGTTTTATACATATATGCGTATGTATATATATATATATATATATATATATATATATATATACACACACACACACACATACATATACACACATATATACAAATATATGTATATATGTATATATATGTATATATATATACACACATACATGTATATACACATATATGTACGTATATATGCTATATCAACATTTCCAATTTTTAACAGTCTTTCTTGTCTTCAGCCTCATCCTCTAAGCTATTATTATACTTCTCCATGATACCCGCTCTTTGGATAATTCTCCCTTGTAGTTTATTCTTTGGAAAGAACAAAAATACCTGTATATGTTTTCTATTCAGGTAGGTGGTAACTTCCTTAAGGTTAGAGCCCCGACTTAGGTCTTTTCTTTCCCCACACCCAGAATAGGCTGGACAGCTAAGAGGTGACCTGTAAATGCTGATGTTCCTGATATTTATACGTTCTTCTAAAGCATGTACAAACATTATTAAAAGCAAGCACTAATGTTCAGATGAAAAATAATGTCTTCCATCATGATGAGTTACCTGTTATTGGGACACTGACTTGGCAATGTCCAGTCGTGGTGTGGATTAATGAGGAAGCCCCAGGACAGGAAGACTGAGCTCGGTGTCAGAGTGCCAACCACCAGCTGAAGAGGTTTGCGAGAGCGTGTTTTACCTATGGAGGTAACATACAGGTTAATTCTGGTAACATTTAATATATTTTTATATTGGGGTAAAACGCATAAAGATGACTTGGCAAGAGTGTAAAACTATTGAGCTCCTTTTCTTTTCATACAGCACACAAATATTACTAATTCTTTGACAATGAGTTTAAGCATGAAGTAAAGGAAATATCTTTTTTTTATAATTGTGTGTGTATATGTGTATGTGTGTAGTTATGTATATAGGCATACATGTGTACTGTATGCATATAAACTATATCCAACTATACCTAGTTCTTAATTTCTTGTGGGTCAGGGATGAATATGGCGGTCTTGGCTATTACCAGTCAAATATACAGACATACACATACCCATATACATATTCATGTATACATATATGTGTGTATGTATCTACACACACTCCTCACTTCATTTCTTTTGCAGACAAAATAAAATCATGCTTATTGGTTTTTTTCCTGGGAACGTGAATTAGTGTGAAATGACATCTAAGAAAGGAAAAGAAAGCTTATCATATAGGTTGTAGGTTATTCTTTTTCTTAAAACCTATTTGTAAGTATAAAATTCCCATCATAGCATTGCAATAAGAATATTTTTTTACAGTGAATATCTAAATGGAAAATATGCACACATTTTTAATAATGCTGGAAGAGTAGGAATAATATAGGAAGCACAGTTGTTTTTGATGGTACCAGCTGGACTTGGGCAATGCCTAGAGTGATGCTGATAAGCCAGTGTAGATTCTTTTCAAGTATGTAGGGGGTGGGTTGGCATTTTCATTTATAAAAATATTTGAAACTACAGGAATGGAGACAGGGAAAAAGAGCAGGGAAGATCCTTAGCCATGGAAAGCAACACTGGATCATAAAAAAATACATAAAAAACACCTAATAAAATGACATAGTGCTAACATAAAACATACATGCTTTGTATTCCCATTGGATTCCCCCTTTCATTCACAGAGGCTATGTATGCTGTATTTGCCGTAGGAAGAACCTATGTTACCTTAATCTAATGCAATGGGAACTGGTAGGTAGAAAGGTACCCATTGTGTGAGCTTGGGGGAGGTTATCTGAACTAAATGTCCTTGAAAATTGTGCCATACTGTTGCTTCTACTAGATTTAAGTTCTATAAATTGTGATTCCAGTGAAAAATCTTCTAAGCCAAGAATATATATAACCTAGTGGTGACAAATTGCCTCACTGTAACATAGCTGAATTTTTAAAAGATATTTGAAATAATTTTCAAGATAATGTTCGAGGATAGTTATTGTTTACTTGTTGTAAACAATACATGTTATAAACATGTGTTTATATTTCTCTGTATATTTTTCCAGATACACCTGTAATAGTACCTTGTGTGATTGTGATTAAAAGGGTCCAAGTCTGGCCCCCAAGGAGGGCAGATTAGAATCTGAGATGAGGGTAAGGAGCACATGTAGTTTGAAAAAGCCCTGAGGTGATTCTAGTATGCCTTTCTCTACCCCTGAGTTGATTTTCACTGATGTAATACAACTATCTCATTTTACAGATGAAAAATAAGGCCCAGAGAAGTTTCAAGGGTGTTCAAGGTCACACCAAAAGCAAGGTCAAGACTCAAACTTTGGTCTCCTGAATTGGAGTCTGATTTTCTTTTTATTACCTTATTGATTTAACTCACAATGTATGAAGTTAATGCCACTTAGAGACCAAAGATACATTCTTCTTTTCCCAAAAGAAACTTAAGCTTACATGACAATCACATAATTATTTCACTAAGTTTGGATCTTAATATAAAAAGGGTTAAATAATTAAAATTTGTATGGTAGATGCAAATAAAAAATGAGCAGAAGCTAATCCATTAGTCATTACATCACTCTCAAATTCAGGTTACAAAAACAAAAATGACATCAGTTGTCTGAAAGGAAAGGTGGGGCAGTATACCCTGAGCAAGATGAAACAATTTCCTGAGCTTGTAATCACAAAGTGAAAAATAATTTCTAAGGCCAGTGTCATAGAAGTCTCCAAATGAAGAAAGTTGTAAAATGCTACTAAGGTGTAATCACTCTCTTGACTTTCCTTTTATTGTTTTCTATATTTGTATAATGATCATATTTGCATTAAGAAAGAGTTCAGTGAATTTAAAATCACAATCCTACGGAGCCAGACTCATGCTTCTTGACTTTATTGTTATATATTTTGAAACAGAGTCTTGAAATATTGAGAGTACATTTATTTTAAAGTGCACAGAAAGTTGCCTGGACAACTATCATTAACAAGTTTCAAGGAGTGATTGAAATTTCACTTGTGTTTTGGGATGATATAAAAGGGCAGGAAAAGGAATTTGAATTTTTCAAATTGCTTGACCATTTACTGCTTCTCTTAAAAGAAGTGGAAACCAATAGAAGGTTGGGAGGGGAGGGGATTGTGGCAACTGATTTCTGGTAACCAGGCTTGGCTGATACATCTAGAAGACGGAACACACAGCTGCCAACGGCCCATTTGCCAGGTGTACTTAAAGATCCCTATGCTCTCCCCACTCATTTCGTCCCTTTCGAAAGATATAACAGAAAGCAAAAAAAAAAAAAAAAAGATCCTTTTTTGTGTGGCATCCAGTGTATTATAAAAGATAAATGTGATTAGGAAATAATTATTTTGAGAACAGTTCACAGTAGAAAAAGAAAAGCAAAACAAAATCAACTATCTACAGAGTTAGGAAAGTATGATATCTGGTGGTAAAAGCATATTCACAGCTTCTGCTGGTCCTTTCTTATAGCACTGGCCTGCTTATTCGACTTGAGAAGACATTTTAGTAGTGAAACTGGGACAATTTTAAGGAGGTATTTTAATCTTTCTTAAATCATGTAGAAGTGTCTCATTTATTCATTCACATGGTATCTTACATTCCTGTTTCAAGACTTTCTATCCTTGGGAAGATGGGGGCTGTGTTGCTGTTTTACAAAAGGAGTCTTTCCTCAATGTTTGACTAAATAGAAGAGATTTAGAAGGGAGAGATCAAGAGTAAATAAAACTAAGTTCCAATCCATTAACACACATATGAATGAGTTATGCTTTTGAAATGTAAACAGTCTCCTTCAGCTAAGGTTAGACATCAAACTTTGTCCTTAAAATCTGAAAGGCACAATAGCAGGTATGAATTCATATATTGCAAAATAAAGACCGATTAACAGGAGCAACTCTCAGCGAGCAATTGCCAGAGACCAGGCCCTGTCCTATGTTTCGCGTATCCATGAACTCATTTAATCCTAACAACCATCCTATTACACAGCAGAAAAGAGGCAGGGAGAGCTTCAGCAATTTGCCTAAAGCCTTGCAGTTTGTGTTCGGTCATGCTGGGACAGGATCTCTACCATCAGGCTATGCTTCTAATCTGTTGACCTGGGACCGGCTGTGCAGATTTTATATATATACTAATCTACATCGCTAAAGCCTCCTCAAGGCACTGGGCTTCCATGGGTAGAAAAGTGATTTTTAAAAGCCATGGTTTAAAATGAACAAAAGAGTAAACAAAATGAACGAGAAATACCTGAGCATGACTTCTTTTGACTTGGAGGAGGAGCAGGTCGCACAACAATCAGATATTTAGGCTCTGCATCTGGAAACAATAACGATATTATTTATCAGTAAAATTCTTTGAGAACGAGCAGTACTCGCGACAGCACACCCATGTCCTGACTCAGTGTTCCCTGGCTTTAGTCATCGTAACCACAGTGAATGAGAGGACCCAGGAATTTAGAAAGTTAATACTTCTTGAGGCAGTTAAGTTTAGTTCCATTTTTAAAATGAAAATTAAATCCAGATTTTCAAAACCAAATGGACAGGAATAGGGGAAAGGTCTTAAAAGAATCTCACTAGACACAGATTTCATGCCACATTTTCATCAACCCTTTTCTCTTCAGAGATTTTTTAAAAATCAGATCATATCTATTCTGTTTTCCTTACAGAGGGTCAGTGTGATACTAAAATCAGAGAAGAAAAATCCTATTTGCATAAGACGCATGGGTCATGTCACCTATTGTATTACCTGAAATTGCTCAGTTTGTGGAAATACGAATATTTATAATGTCCTATTTTTTTATTGTTTCCCTAACTTCTCAGCCTGTTATAATATCTAACCAGTTATTTTCATGAACAAGTTTTAAACAAAGTCACAATTTTAGGTGGCTATAATTTTCACCTAAAATATGCCAATGGAAAATAAATTAACAGAGAATCTCTTTTTAAAATATTTAGGTTTTGAATTAAATGATGTTTAAACAATCAGCATGTGCTAACTCAATGAGCTAATAATTTATCAAATAATATTTTTTTTTTTTTAGTTTCCAAGATGAATAGTTGGTTTAAATATATATATAAATAAGCCAAATACACTTTGGGCACACTACATAGCATTTTATAAGCAGCTCTACTGGATTAACTAATTGATGGATATTACCTACAATATTTCTTCAGTAACTGGATCCTGAAATTCATTGGCCTCCAAGTTTCAGTTGGATGCTGTAGTCAACAAGAGTTCACCTCTACTTGCTCAGGCAGATCTCACATCTTTGTTTTGTTTTCATCCTGGGTTCAAATATCTCTCCTCAATGAGTTTGGAACGAAGGCCATCTCTGCCCAAGGCTTTACAGAGCTGACCTCATCCTCAGTCAGAGGCAACCTGGCAATTCAACCGCCTTTAATGATTCCAGCTTTTGTCTTTTTCTGGACACCCCACACAGCCCTATTCCTGCCTCAGTAATTACACTGCATGAAGTGAAACAGGCAACCTCTTGAACAGACCTTGGAGCTTTACCTGTTTATTTTATAGTTGCCTCATGACCACAACACAGATAAAAGAGCATTCATTGTGTTTCAGGGTCTCATGTGTTTGAGCATATCTTGTAGTGAAGCTTATATAAGGAATGCATGACCTAAGTCAAGTTTCCTAGTAGCAATACAATAACCATTTCCTCTTTTTATGTGGATATAAAGTGATATAAGTATTAAGAAACTGCCTTGAAAGTTGAGTACTTTCTATGTGCAGGATGTTTAAGCATTCTGCATTCATAACTTAATTACTCCTCATGGCAATCCTGCCTGACACATATTATCACCCCAATTTGTAAATGAGGTCACTGAGGCAGAGTCAGCTTCATGGGCATGCAATATGTACAGTTAGTTGTACAGGATCTCCTGCACAAAAGGGTTCCAAGCATGGTTTAATAATCTGCTGTCGCCATCTTGAAGTTCTTCATACTTTTGCCTTTGAATTTGTATTTTGTGAGGGAAAGTTGATGGGACAGTGGAGCATGCGTGTGAGCAGAGCAGATAGGAATGATGTGCAAAACTGACGTCCCTTCCATTCACATAAGCATTCCAGGTGCCCCATCAGACTAACGTTCCATAGGATCTAAGATGCCTGGGAGCTCAGCAAGACTCAAATGTAGAACAAGGTAAATGAATTCCATCTATGACCAAGTAACAGGGCATGCAGTGGGACACTGACAGCTGTGAGGCCACACTTTCCATTCGAACCAGAACTTGGTTCACTGTAGAAGGAAGGCAATGGCATTTTAAGAAACCTATGACCAAGGAATCCTATCATACCCTTCCCCATTCCTGTTACTTCTTGTAATCACCAACCACTTATGCTGAAAATGATGGTGTAGAAGGAAAGGGAAAGTTAGAGCAACCTCTAGGTTCCTGTTCTTTTCAGTTCTTCCTCACTCAAAAGCAAGTCAAAGGGGGAATATTGGTAAAATGTGCACATATCCTGAAGCGAAGTAAAAAGTTTAGTTTTGTGTATTTCCACTATTCTGGTAAGAGTGAAATACACATGCATGTAGGAACTACAAAATACAAACCTGTGATTTTAGTGATTCTGCTTAGGAGTTAAAGCCTTTATATATGCATTTAAAGCTGCACAATATAAAGATAAATGGTAAAATTCATGCTAATAATTTGAAATTTTAATTTTTCTTTACTTAAATGACATCACATAGCAAATAAAATGACACTAAGACAAGTTGAGAGAGAAACAGTGAAAGAAAGGAGAAAACTTTATATTAGGACTTTTAATGGCAATTTTTTCCTGCTTTTTGGACCAGGGCCTTCCATTTTTATTTTGTACTCGACCCTGAAAATTATGTAGATATCTTAATCTAGTCTTCAAAGTACCCTTTTACTAAATCTCAGGAATTCACTTCTAGAAAGGAAAATTAAATCCTTATTTTTCTTAAATTGTTCTTATTGTGGCAAAGTCTTTTAGAGCTAGCCTTTTATTTTCTTTCTTTGATACACATTAATTCACTATGCCTCAGTGGGTTTTAAGAAAAGACCCGACATACTAGAAAAATAATATACATGATCCATGACATATGGTTATACAAGCAATTTAAAAGTAACTTTGGTCATGATCACAGTCGTTCTGCAATAAAGCAAAGGCTGTTACACCAATTACAAACTGGAACAGATGTTGGGATTTGCATGCATATGCTGGTTCTCACTGCTCATTAAAAGCTTTCAGCATTCATGTATTTCAGTAGACTTTGCACTTAACTGGGAACACAGACATGGAAAAATAAAATAACCAAAAATCTAGATTTCTATTTCTGTTCTTCACTACAAAATTCTTTGTGGATTTGTAGCAAACTGGAAATGCATACAAGTGTATCCTGCTCAGAAATTCTGGCAACATGCCAAAACCCACTGCTTCTTCATTTAAAGAATGTGTATAATTAAAATGGTAATTTAAGAGAATTCATGTAGAATGCAGTTACCTTAACAAATTTTTCACTCCTGATCTGTAAGCCTATACAATGTTTCAGACTAACTAAATTTAATTTGCTTAATATTTTAAATGCCCTGCAGTGGAGTATAGGGACAGCTTACTGTTTAAGGAAATTGACTATTGAAATCCTTTAAGGTACTAGATGTTTTGGTAATACAAATAATCCTCTCATAATTGTTTTTATATCCAAGTAATATTCTATTGTATATATGTACCATTTCTTTATCCAATTATTCATTGAAGGGCACTTGGATTGCCTCCTTACCCTAGCTATTGTAAATAATGCTAATTCCAGGTGCATTTGAAAAAAATGTATAGTCTGCTGCTTTGGGATGAAAAGCTCTAAAAATATCAATTAAATCCATCTGGTCTAATGTGTCATTTAAGGCTGCTGTTTCCTTGTTGATTTTCTGTCTGGATAATCTATTCATAGATGACAATGAGGTGTTAGAGTCCCCTACTATAACTGTATTACTGTCAATCTCCCCATTTATGTCAATATTTGCTTTATATTTTTAGGTGCTCCTATATTGGGCACATAAATGTTTACAAGGGTTATATCCTCTTGTTGGATTGATTCCTTTATCATTATGAAATGTCCTTTGTCTCTTAGTATAGCCTTTGTTTTAAAGTCCATTTTTCTCTAAGTAATGCTATCCCAGTTTTTTTTTCTTTTTCATTTGCATGAAATGTCTTTTTCCATTCTTTTACTTTCAGTCTGCATGTATCTTTCAATCTGAAGTGGGTCTCTTATAGACAGCATATGTATGGTTCTTGTTTTCTTATCCTTTCAGCTATCTTACGTTTTTTCGATTGAGCCATTTAATCTATTTACATTTAAAGTGATTATTGATAGGTACATAGTTATTGCCATTTTATTATACATATTTATGTTTTTTTCCCCCTCTTCTTCTTTTTCTTTAAGAAGTCCCTTTAATTTTTCCTCTACTGGTTTAGTGATGATGAACTTTAGTTTTTTTCTTGTCTGGGAATTTCTTTATCTCTCCTTCAATTTTAAATGATAGCCTTGCTGGGTAGAGTAGTCTTGGTTGTGGGCTCTTTCTTTTCATCACTGAATATTTCATGCTCTTCTGGCCTGCAAAGTTACAGTTGAGAAATCAACTGACAATCTTTATGGGAGCTTCCTTGTAAGTAACTAGTTGCCTTTCAATGCTGTTTTTAGGATTCTCTCTTTGTCCTTAACCTTTGTCATTTCAATTATAACATTTCTTGGTGTGGGTCTGTTTGGGTTCATCTTGTTTGGGACTCTATGCTTCCTGGACTTGTATGTCTATTTCCTTCACCAGGTTAGGGAAGTTTTCAGTCATTCTTTTTCTGTCTCTTCTCCCTCTGGTATCCCTATGATGCAAATGTTGTTACACTTGCTTCTTTTTTTTTCTTTTTGCTGTTCCAATTGGGTGTTTTCTGCTACACGGTCTTTCAAATTGCTGATTCAGTCCTTTGCTTTATGTAATCTGCTGTTGATTCCTTCTACTGTATTTTTCATTTCAATTATTGTATTCTTCATTTCTGACTGGTTCTTTTTTGTGATTGCTATGTCCTTTTATATGCTATCTCTTTGTTGAAGTCCTCACTAAGTTCCTTGAGCATCCTTATAACCAGTGTTTAGAACTCTGCATCTGGTAGATCGCTTACCTCCATTTCATTTAGTTCTTTTTCTCATGTCTTCTCCTGTTCTTTGTCATGTTTCTTTATTACCTCATTTTTGTTGCCTCTTTGTTTCTATGTGTTAGGTAGATCTGCTTTGTCTCCCAGAATTGGCAGGGTGGCCTTATGTAGTAGGTGTCCTGTGTGACCCAGTGGTA